GCCTTTGGGGGTATCTCGGTCAATAGGCACGCTGATATTGCTATCCATGGGCAAAATGTAAATTTTGTAATGCCTAAAAGCATGAAGTCGTTATTTTCAGTTAAGATTTTAATATTAAATTAAGAAAGGGGCAGACATTTAGGCCTCATTTGCTTTTCAGAAAGTTATTTACCAAGGTAAGTGTTTCTTGGAAAATGCTTATCTGAGTAAATACACTTATCCATGTTCTTTTATTTCCCATGTAAATAAAACTGCTTATTTTATCTATAAAAAGACATTATTAAAATAAACAATTTTATCCCATCCAAGTGTTGGCAATTTCTCCCAGGTGGAAAAGTTACTTATTCACCTAGGAGATTGGGTAAGTGATACTTAGGGCAAATAAATTTTTCATGGACCCCAGGCCACATAAATCTAAAAGAAAACATGGGTATCTTGGTCAATAGAACCAAAATCTCATCGACCAACTTTCCCCCATTCAAAATCCAAAAACGAATGGACGCTCTTAGGCTCAATTTAGGAAAAGTATAAATATAAATATGAATATGTACAGTATAAATACAAGTTTCAAGATATTATTGGGCCTGAGTTTAGGTATGGTGCAAACAGGCTTCTGAGGACCTGACCCACCTAAAAATCACACAAACTAGAAATTTATAAATTGAAATTTTTCTCATGACTGTGTTGCATTGTAAATCTGTACTAGATACAAATTTTAATTTGCACAGTTCTGTTTTGTATCCATTTTTTTGTAGCTATGATTTATACACTCTTTTCTGATATAAATTGTACTTTTTATTATTTGCACTCATTAATAATGTGAATTTTGCATCCCAAAAGCTATAAAATAAGTACCACATCATCTAGCTTCCAACTCATTCTCAAGCCTCTTATCTCCATTCTCTTTCATATAAGGTGGGGACACATCATTTTTACTCACTATCCTATGCAAATTAAACAAATAAGACAGTCAAAACTGAAGCCAAAGTAAAGCAGTTTTGTACTGCAACTAAACCCAGCCTATAAAAGAATAATTGAATGCATACAGTTCAAGCTAACAAGGAATAAAACTGGATTTACTTGCTCCTAACCGAAAACATTCATACATGTGAGCCTGAACTTGACCTGATCGAATGCCACCAGGTCCAATGTATGTGGGCCAAAACCCTTGGCCCGGTATTTGGGTACATCATTACTTTCAGGACCCTGAATCCTACAACTACAATGCTCGACCATCCATTATGTACTACATCAGCTTGATACATGGGCCCGTGAGTTCGGAGTTGATTGCCCGAATTGATTATGTCGGTGCTAGTTGTATGATTTTGTCCTGATTAATAATTGGGTCAATTCTAATTCTTAATCAAAACCAATTATTTTATTAAATAGATATAAGATTTTTCTTTTTTATATAATATTTATCATATTATATGTATGAAATGATAAATTTGATAATTAATATATAAGATAATATTAATTAAAAATGTTTAATACAAATCTGAACCGCATACGAATTTTACATCCGGTCTAGTTTTGTATCCATTTGTTTGTAACTATAATTTAAACTCATATCTGATGCAAAATTTGCACCAAATAAATAACCTTCTGCAGCCTCCACTCACATATAAAATGGGACCACATCATCTTATTTCCTATTTTCCTTCTTTAAAAAACAAAATAAAATATAAAACAAAAATAAAGCAGGATTTATACTTTGTACTCCTTATGCATTTATACCAGTGCAAGTGAAATTTGCAATACAAACATAGAAAGCCTTAATAAAAAGAGAATAAATAACAATTATTTCTTCCATTAATTTGCAAATAATTTAGCCATTTTTGTATTCCTTGATGAATTGTGGCACCAAATGGCAAAGTCATCTTTATGATGTTCTGGGATCTGTGAGGAGAAATTTTGATGGTTTTGTTTGAACAGGCATAAGATAGGAAGCGATGATTGAGGTACCCTACAGAAAAACAATCAGAGAGGTAGAATTCCCCACTATTTGTTTATCATTATTTGTAGGTCAGTGTGCACACAGAAGTTATTATAATCTATCCATTGAAAAACAAACAAAGACTCATGCCCAAATACTCCAACTTGTTTCAGCATAAATATTATAAACTTGGTCTGAAATAACCTACCCTTTGCAGCAGGCTTAGAGAGATTTGGGTTAGAATATCTTGAAGTTGATGATTTGATTAATTAGTTTCACACTAATGGGTAGTGGAGAGAGAAGAGAGCTTTTATGAAATAAATGCAAATTAGAAACAATTAATATTTTATCCTTGAATAGTTTTTAAATTAGAGATAGGGTTTTGAAACACAAAACAGATAGTCCAAGAGACAAAATTGTCCTTCATCTAACTTAAAGTACTAGAAGGCTAATAGAAAAAAGCTAAGGTAGACCAACAAAACAAGGAGTGAGGTCGTTCTCACTTCTCACCTCTTGTACTCAATATCACACTTGAGACAAATTTGTTTGGCATGTATTGACTACCAAACGAGTTCTTACTCCCAGGCTCCCAGCTTAGAGTTCAGGTTTTGGTTTCCAGAAAACTGATTTGAAAACAACCTGATATTTGTATTGTCGCGTTCACATTTATGATCAGAGGGCCAGCTCTTGCATTGACTAGAATCTGAAATCATGTCAATGTGTCGTGCCGTCGTTGTTGGTCGAGAACAGATGCATGTCTCAGAGGATGATCGATTCCTTGGCTTAACCAAAAAACCAAAAGATCTCTTCATTCAAAGCTTCCTAATCATAGTTTGTCGACGCAAATGGGAACTCTTTCTTTGTTTAGTGTAATTTGTCGCCATTTCTTGACATGAGAACTTGGGTGAGAAACAATTGTATTCTTCAGGGTTTTGTCATTGAAATTACAAATTTGTTTAATTTACATAGGGCCCCATCAGGGCAATTTCAAAATTGAGAGATGCTACAGTGCTGTGTATAATATTTTCTTTTTCTTTCTTTTGGTAAGAGCAATAATTGATTGTCCAGAATCCAGATTGGTGAGCTAGTTTACACTGAACACAATCAACAATCCTTAGTCAAAATGAGGGACAACAATGGGTTCAACTTGGTCCAGTCAGATCTGGGTTAGAGTTTCATGAGTTATGACAAAATGGGGCTAGATGATTGGCTGGGCCTAGGATTGCTCTTCAGTCAAGACAGTCGAATAGCTTCTGCATGTTTTGCCACTAATGGATTCAGACGCTCTACAATCGAATGATTTTACAGATATATTAAACAATTAAGAATGATGAATTTGTCAACCCAAATAATCTCCACCAATGACACATTTCAAAACAACAGAAAATAAAGTTGGTTCTACACCCAAGCTTATCAGGGCCCCCTCAACCAGGTGTAGAATTAGACCGAAATCCTAACAAGAACCTGAACTAGACCTGATTATGTGGACCCGGCCAAAACCTTTATAATCAGGGCCTGGAATGTGGGCACACCCCACGTACTTTGGGTTCAGACTTGCTCCATTCATCGAGGGTGTTAAGAACAAGGAATCTGTTTGGACCCAAAATAATGGTTCCATACAAAATTATCAAGCACAACCTTTCTTCTCCAGCCTAGGGAAGGAGGGTGGGTGAGGGAGGTCTAGTCCACGAACAGCCCAACCAACTCGGTGCTACAACTTACAAGGAGGGAGCTGGGCTTTGGCCTGAAACTCTTTTCATCCCGGCCTTTGTACATGGGAGACATGGCTCCAAACCCTACTTTGGATCCGAAATTCCAGAGCCCAGGCCCAATTTTTAACCTATTCTCTGTGCCAACTGATTTATGAACGTAACATTCATCTGTTTCATCATCTGATATTCATGGTTCTTACACAGAATTTGCTATATATCTCTTAACAAAAGCAAGCTCTTTATCACTCCTCAGCCTCAATGACACCCATGAGACAGACAGTGTCAAAGGAGGGCTAACAAAGAATCTGGGTTTTCATCGGGAATACATTGAACTGCTTTTCTAGATTCTCTCCTGGGCTATCGTGTAGTCATCTTTTAAACAAGAAGCTATTGTATGTGTTTCTATCAAGAACTCTGTAACAGCATCTAAAACACTTCTGACGAACTGTTTGCAGAGATATTCAAATTGCAGCTAGCTGAGTATGAACTAGCAGACAGCGTCAGAACTCAGAAAGGGTTGATTCACCTCTCGCCCCAGATAGCAGCTCCATACAGAAACAAGTTTCCCTGAAGAGCAAGAGCTTTCCATCAAATGGGAGTAGAATCTTTTTGACCCATTTTTTGATAATTGCAGCTTCTCCATTTGTAGTAGAAGCGTATCAAACTACAGGGTTTCGTTCTTTTCTTCTTTCTTTTCTTTTCTGTACTTCTGGTCTAAAGAAAGAAGTTATTCTTATTCCCTCAAATCTCTTTGTCGTGTCCCCTTATGTAGTTGTCTAGTTGATACGGATGCAAAGTAGATTGGACATAATATTTTCTAGAATCTTTTCATGTTTTGACCACATACACTCTCAATTTCTTTTTTTTCCAAGCAATTGAGATGATTCGGAAGCAGGATGCATTTATATAAATATTCCTGCTTCAATTCATTGCTTCTTCTCCAATTTGGGTCTGATCTCTAAGGCAGTAACCATCTGATCTGTTAAGTTTTAACTGATTTCTTACATCACTTCCACCTCCATCAATGAATCATTAATATTTCATATTTATTTTAGCAAGTGGCAAAAATCTAAAGATTTCGGGAAAGATAAATCCACCCAATATCTTTTTTATATAAAATTTTGCAAAATTTCAGAAATTTAAAACCATTGTTAAAATCATCTGGGGATCCTATTTTCGTGATTATCTTTAAATTGCATCGCCAATTTACCATTTTTTTGGTACTTTAAATGCATCGTGATTATCCAATTTACCATTGGATCATCAATATCTAAAAGCAGATTTGTGTGGCTTTTCTCACTACGTTACTTATATTAGGTATAATAGATACCACACTAATTAAATACGCACCATTACATGCAAGAAATGCTTCATACATATGTTGCATCTATCGTGTCACAAATTCTCATCTCAGAACAAGGAAAACCATTAGAGACCACACGAGAATTAATTAAGAACAATGGCCAAAAGAAGCTAGGATGGAAAAGATTAATTTTCATCGGAACAAAAAAAAAAAAGATTTACACTGACTCAACACTACTGCCGCAGAGAGAGATGGAAAGATCCAAGTTTATATGGCGCTGCTGCGAAGAACCGGAACAGTCCTTGGATGAAGAGATCGCCTCACTGATTTCACTGGTGGATGAGGCGTTACTCTGCGCCGATGGACGCAACGAGAGAGACAGTGACAGTGTGCAATCACCGGCTTCTTCTTCTTCCGTGTGTTCTTTATCGACAGACTGCGTTAAATGCGATTGGAAACTGTTATCCATGTTCTCCATTTTCCGCTTTCTGGTTGATGGAAGTTGTTCTACGTTCACCTGTGCCATCTGAGAAGAACGCAAATCACAGCACGTCAGAGACGAGGAAAATGAGTCTAAGCTCTAAAGCTTAGAATAACAGATAGGGAATGATGATCTAGAAACAGTGTTGCAGACAATAATGGCTGCCCATGGGCATAATATCAAGAGTAGGTGGTTCAATTTCAACAATTGAATGAATTTGACTTTAGAGATCGACTTCCTCAGTTGGGACCTACCCCATTTGAAACCCTGTGCAGTGTGCCTTGCAGAGACAGCCATGGCCATTGGCCATTGCTATCTCAGCTGGCATTAGACAAGCAGATGGGTCTCTTTCAGACTTTCAAAGCCAGTAACTCAAAGCAAAACACTCTTGTATGAACATGAACCAAGTGTTAGGAGTGTACGAGGTGTAATTTTCGACAGAATAAAGCTGCTGTGAGGACTAGTAAGGCCATCTTTCATGGTTGTGGCACATCAGTCCATCAATCAGGACCATCCAAGACTCCAGATGGAATACTTTGGCGGGCCACACCATACCCACTGTGTTGAGAGAAAGGACTTGGGATTTCTCAGGAACCGAGTGGCTTAGAAGAAAATCCGGGCTTTCTTTTTTTTGGCATACAAGTACAAAGCGAAGGAAAGTTGGTCACTTCTCACATTATAATTGTGTAAAAAAAACTTGGCTGGTTTTATATGTATTCATCAAAACATATGGAAGAAAACAAAACGAGATAATAATGAAAGGAGGAAGGAATATTCCAATGTCTGAAACGTAGAACACGAGTAAGTTGGTTGTTTCTCTATTTCCCATTTGAGTCTTGATAATGCAGGGAAAGATTCTTCCTTCTTTTCTTATTACTAAGGAGGTTGGCCTCCTGAACCAGCATTTCAGATCTGGATAAAAAAGATATTTGTCCCGAAAAGGATGAACGAATCTTCCCTCATCAAAATGAAAATGCCCTCCCGGGTTTATCTTGAACTTGGTTGAGACTTCGGGCTTACTGTTCATGTAATAAGGTAGCATTAACCGAAAATAACACCAACCCATGAGAGAGAGAGAGAGATGTACCTTGAAGAACTGAGATTCTTCCATTGAGTATCCGAAAGCATTGAGATTGTAAAGATGGGGTGGCAGAGAGAAAGATGTAGATGGAGCCTCGGCCTGCCATCTGAAACCCTCCTTTATTCCACCATTCTCAGCCATGGCTTGCAGATAATCATGAAAATAGTACGGGGAGACGACTGTCTCACATATTCTTTGGTTGTTGCAGTGCAGGTTGTGGGAGATGGAATTCGTCGTCTCTATTCGAGCTCTGAGAAGAGTAGAGAAAAAGCAAACAGCAAAAGAAGTTTAGTGCTAAAAAGAGAAGGGTAGTGATCGATCTGTTCCCTGGTTTCCTTAGAAAAGCGAAGCGAACTGCTAACCTTTTTGGAGGAAGAGGGCCGTAAATGAACTGAGAATCGGAATCCTGAATGGGTTTTGAGGAAGAGAAGAAACCACCATCATTTTCCTCATCAACACACCCATCATGACGATCAAAGGAGTGTTTTCTTTGTTGGTTGGAATGCATATCTGAGACACGAATACAACACAAAAGAAAATGTAAGTAGAATTGGAGAGTTGGGTCTCTCAATGATTTACTTATTTATGGTTTGAATAATAAATGAAAAGCAAATGGGCCATCCGTTTGAGCTCACAAAGGTTTAATGTAAGGCAGTTTGGGAAATGAAAATCAGAGGAATAGAAAGGTGGGGTTTGTGAGGATCAAAAGAAAAGCCAGTATTAGAAGCTTTACGAAGATATGGACTTTCTTGAGTTCTAGACTGTTTCGGCGAAGCAGCAGCTTTATTGGAAAAAAAGAAATAAATGAACAGAGGGAACAAACTAGTTAACTCTTTCCAAAACAAAAGAAAAAGATGTTGAGTTCACAAACTTGTCTCTGAACTTGAACAAGCACATTAGTAGAAACTAAAAAGGAAGCGGCTTTATGAAAACACAGACAAACAAATAGAAAACTGCTACAGCTTTTGCTTTGAAAGAAAGATAAAATAAATAAGCGAAAAATAAAGATAAGAAGAAGAAGAAAATAATAACAGACATGGTTCAACAGAAAATTCTTCTTCTGTACTTATATTTTTGCATTTACCAATAGATATACAGAAATAAGAAAAGAAAAACTTTGATTACCTTGTCTGCTCAGGTCACTCTTCATGCTTCTATACATCTGATGATGGGAAGCAGCAAGGATCAACAAGGACCAGAGTGAAGGAGAGAATGTCAGAAATAGCCACAAAGAGTTTCAAAAGAAGAGAGACTACTGATAAAGATACCAACCTGAAGATGGCTTTTAACATGTGAAATGGTCAGTCCTCTCACATCCATTAGCTGAAGAACAAGCTTAGGAGTAGCCTCTGCATGTAGGCAGTATCTTCAGTATCTCAGAGGAAAAAAGAAAACAAAAGCATGATGAAAACGGAAGCAAATATTCAATGAGGATATGAGTCTGATTCTACTTACTATCTTGACCTCCAAGCCTTTCAATAGCATGAACGAAACAATGATGGAGATCAGGAGTCCATCTCAGACGAGGCACCTTGGACCTAATGTACTGCCTTACTGCTCCATTCCTTCCACAGGTTCCCATTTTTCCTTCCTCTCTCTAATCGGTTGTCTCCGGGCTCCAACAAACTAGACCCAAGACCAACAACTCAGAGGGATTTCTCAGACTCTTGAATGGATCCTCCTGGGTCCTTTCTTTGCTCTCTTTAACGAGGATTTCCTCCTATCTGGGTGAACTCTAAAACCACCCAAAACCTATCTCTGAGAACTCCAGCTCGTCTTCTCCCCCCTCTTTAATCACAACAAATATAAGAAAAACAAAAGAAAAATCTCTCTCCCTCTCTCTCTCTCTCTCTCTCTGCCTGTATCTTTTATCTGTATCTCCTGTTTTAGCAACTGGGGTGTTTTCCAGGGGTCTTTCGATCTCGTTGGAACTGTCTAGGTTTAAAGCAACATTTGCAGAGATGGAAAATCTTCATAAAATAAAGAAATATTATGTCCTCTAACCAACAAGTGTAATATAGCAGAGGGAGAAGATCACGAGAAAAGGAAGGGACGAAGCTGAGGGACTCTGTAAATTCCTTGGCTCTGCTAATCTGCTTCTGCTCTTCCCTGCAAAGAAAAATTCTCATCACGAGCTTCTGATCTTCTCGAAATCATTACAAACAAGCTTTGACCCCCCCTCTCTCTCTCTCCCCTCTTTAAACCCATATACGCACAACGCCAACGTCGTCATGATCACAAAAGCCCATGAAATATTCTTAAAAAATTTCTCAAATATTCACAGCCGTAATAGAGTAGAACAGAATCTCTGTGCCTTGATTTTCTTTCTTAATGGTGCGCACGTTAATTAACCTTAACCCCCTTCCCTCTCTCTCTACATTTCTTGTCTTGAACCGGTCAAGACCTTAACGTCTGTCACTTGGCTTTCTTGTCAAAAAGTCAACTATCTAATACAGATGGACAAACCAAAACGAAAAGGAAAGGGGAAAATCAAAGCCCTATGAATTCCAGTCCAGACTCCAGACCCTTTGAGAGAAGCAGCAGCTAAAGACGTGTAGGCAAGGGTAGGTAAATTTTGGAGAATTTATGGGCTTTACTTTTCTCGAGAATTCTCTTTCCATCAATCACGTAAGGGGGCAATGCGGGCTTAGAAGTAAAGACGGTGCCGACTTTTGAAAAACCCAAGAATTCCCCCCCCAAAATACAAAATAAAATTGTATATAGCAAAAAAGTTGGAAAAAAAAAAGAAAAGAAAAAGCAATTTTTTACTTACCTTTTTCTGGCGGGTTTGTTTGTTTTCTTTTCTTTTCTGAGAAATTTTTTTCTGGTAATCTCTGAAAATTCTTGAAATATACTGAAACACCCTCTCTGTCCCCTTCCCTGAAATCATCACCTCATGGCTCATTCAGAAGTTTCAGATTCCCGACATAAATGGTTCCCACTGTAATTAACTCCTGGAAATAGACCCTAATTTGTTTAAACACGGAAATGAGACAGCAGTTTAGTCAAAGTGAAGGACATCATGTCCAGTAAAATTCCCACATTACCCCTTGGGTCATAATCAACACCCCATGTCGGATTTGTTGACTGCAAATCTCTCCTTTAGGTAAATTTTACCATCAGCTGCTTTCTCACAAAGAAGTTGGCACATCAGTGCTCCCAAGTTTGAAAGCTAGTTGTAATTGGAAATGAGTTAATGACAATGCCTACATTTTAATAAATTACAGTAGTTATGTGCTTGTTTAGATTAAGATGATAATTTAAGTTATATAAGTTAATGAGTAATTAATGCTTCACACTCTATATAATAATAATATATATATAAACATATAGTAAAGTTGAATGAGTGCAATACTGCAATTGTTTCTTTATACTATTCTTTTATCAATTGGGGGTTGTCATTGTTTATCAGCAAATTAGGGTTGTCATAATATGGCCTAGTAAAGAACGAAACCTTCATTCCTCATGTGCTTGAAAGAAAACCTCAACTTTTCAACTTTTTATAAAAACTTCAAATTTCTCTTTGACCAAGCCAAGGAAAAAGATGTACCATAGATTTCAAATGCATGTGTCACCATTTAATATATAAAGACAAATTATTATTTTTCATGGAATTATCACTCTATCTCATAGTCATGTATTCATATTAAGGTCAATGGCTTTTGGCATAAGATTAAGACACACATAAATGATGAGGAACTTTGTTTCTTCCAACCCCCATATCTTTGTGGTGGAAGGGTGGCCACCTCATGCTTTCTTAAAACACAATCCAAAATAGTAGAAGAATTCTATCTATCTGAAATAGTATGAGAATTTATCTAAAATAGTAGAAGAATTTAAAATTATCCTTATAGAAACAAAGTGCAAAATGACTAGCTCCTAACATAATCAATCCTCATCAATCAACCCATTCTGATCAAATCAAAAGTCCATCACCTAAATCTTTCTAGTGACAAGGTATTAAGCATTGTAATTCTAGTGTTACATCTAATTAATTTATTTTATCAATGACATAATGCTTATGTAATAAAAAATTCTCTCATTCCCTTTGTACTTTTCTGTATTCTAATAGAAAAATCTATTCTATTGATTATGAATACCTGAAGTAGACAACATGATAACCTTTAGTTTCTAAGAAATGAGAGACATATGGTTTGAGTGTCTTAGTAAGTAATTTTAAATATTAGCATAATTGAGAGGTTTTGTGGAACACGTAGAACATTTCAATGGTAGATACACATGAAGGATTTGCATATGTAAACCATATTGTGGTGTGCTTTGCCTATACCCCTACGTCCTTACATCCCCCTATTCAATTGACTATTTTGTGTCAATCCATAAATGTTGATCAAAATAATCTAAATAATTATCCTTAATTAGAATAATCAAGATGTCAATCAACTAAGAGAATCTTTATATTCATAGAAAATAAAAGGTAATAGAGATTATTCTTTTGATTTTTTGGACAATATGGTAAATTTTGTTTGCAAATCCATCTAATGCATGATTGCACTTCTCGGAAAAATTAGAGGCCGCTTGCAGTTGTGAGCCCATATTGTGGTGTATTTTGCCCATATCTCTATTTGTTTATGGATCATTTTTGTTTTCTTGTAGTATTGATCTTTTGTGTTTTTAATCTATAATTCATCAAAATAGCCTTAAATAGTTGTGCTCAGAGTTATTGAAATGCCACTCAATTGAAGCAATTGATCATTCATCAAATACATATAAATTTTTAAAGATAATAGAAAAAAAAACTAACAAAATTATGTGGATTTTATCTATTGTCTTTTTCCTTCATAAATGCAAAGTTGTGTGAGTCATAAACTAATACAAGGTTATGAACCCACAAGAGGATTACATGGGAGATAGATTGATTTATACCAACAAAGTGAGGGAATAAGGGTAAAAGGCACTATTGCATATAAATGGAACTTATTTCTATGTGATCTTTCCATTGTGCTACTAAAATATATTGTGAAGGAACCCTAACAGTAATTTTTTTTCTATACAATATCAATTGTCTCTAAGCACAGTTATAGGTCGGATTTATTTCAAATGATATTTGAAATCTTTATCAGATTGAGATTTAGGTTTTAATTCATACTTTTATAGTTAAAACTTTTTAACAGAAGCTTTCATTTAAAGATGCTAATCTTGAGAAAAAAAAGATACTAATGAACCAAAGTATATTATAAATGCAATTCACATAATGAATTTGTAATTTTAATTTCAATAGCCTACCTAGAGAACTTATCTCGTTTTAGCTTCTTTGTAAGAGATATTATTAAAATTTATTCACTTAGATTTTGATGATGTGTGATCTAGGAGCTTCTAGTTAGAGGATTGCCTGGGTGTATTCGTATGGTGAGGTAGATCAAACTGCAAAACAGGGATCAGATTGACCGAGGTGGATGACCTGGGGAGGTCGCTCCGATGCTTAAGTTAGTATTCTTGTTGTGGTTGTGAGCTTAAAGTTTGAGTGCTAGAGAGCTCGAATGAAAGTAACCGCGCGTACCTGGACCCTGGAGGGATCGATGCTCTTATATAGCTAAGCTATCATGGATCTCCCGAAATGGTTCCGTGATCTGCGGCTTGAGTGGATGAGATCCGTTTCCGCTTTAGTCAGGGAGTAACGTATCAGTCAATGAAATTTATCGTCGTCGCCCGATCCGGGCGAGGAGAGGATAAGGCCTGTTGTTATGCGACGTGACCTCATGATATTCAAAGGCTGTTGGGAAACTTCTGGAATCAATTACGTGTCACTTCGGTTCCTGGGCCCCGAACTTGATTAAGCACAGAGGTGACTCTATGCCGAGTTGTCCTTATGCCGAGGCGACTTTATGCTGAGGTGGTGTTATGCCGAAGTAGCATTATACCGAGGTGCTGGAACATCCGAACTCTGTAAACTACTGAATAGACTTCCCTTGCTGAGTTGTCATTCTATGGGTAGATCACGTCCATGTGACATTTACGTACTAGGTCGTGCCAAATTACCCTTCACCAGATTCTTTTTTTATGAGGAAAATACCATCTCTCAACTTGATGTGGGCTAGTGGTCCATGGATTGCATTACGCTGACAATAAGGCAGAGTTATGACAAGATTAAAATGACTACCCACTACAAGAAAAATGGTGTAAGTAACACCACCGGCTTTGGCCTTTAGGCTGCCTCCTCCGCCCCTTAAGCCATTGTCGGCCTAGATCAAGTCCGCTGGCTTAAATAGCAAAGACTGCCGTAATGAACCTGTTCGATGATCTCTAAAGCAGTGGTATGTCAGAACCTCCAGCTTAGTGTTAATAAACGTGGTAGTTTAAACCGCCGGCTTAGATCTGTCAAAACATTATTTGCATTTTTAGGTGGCGTTCTGAACCACCGGTTTAGATATTATATGCCTTGAATTTATTACAGAAACAAGGATATTTAGAAGGCATAAACCTATCAAAATCCTTTCCCCAGGAATGCCTATGATTCAAGGAAGAAATCATAGTATGATAGCTTTAGTGTTTGGAACCAAAGTAAAATATAAGATCCTGTTGTGTTGATTCTTACTAACATTCAATACAATATGACCTTTCCTTTTCATATATATGAATCACCATACAAAATATTAAGAATTCCAACCCTTCCTATGGAATACTTGTGGAGATTCCCAAAAATTCCATCTTGGGATAATCAATTTTAAATATGTAGGAAGATGCCTACTTTTAAAATTCTCAATTTCTAATATGGTAGTTAATTGAATACATGGATCATAACAAAAAAAAAAAAATCATACATAATACAAATTTGATGTATTGCATTTGAGGTGGAGTAGGATTTGTCAATTATGTGAAATCTCCCTATTTAATTGTTTGGGCATTTCTTTTGGCATCACAATAATTTGGAGAAATGAAAAAGAAAATACTTGTAAACTCAACAATGTAGAGGTATTTGAATACCTCCTTTGGATAGTTATTCAACTTCAAAACCCTATACAAAAGTCTGTGTGCAATTTGGTTCAAGAATACAAACATATGGGGAATATTTTGGATAAACATATGTGTTGGCTAAAGGTAAATATGATTTGGAATTAAGGTTTCCTTTTAAAAATATGGTAAAAATGGTGTAGTTTATATGCAATGTATATAGCATCTATTAAAAATATGTATTTTCATATATACTACTAACTTTATGTTATAAAAGAGATAGTAGGATAATTTTATAAACATATAGCATTACAATTGTTTGGAATTAGACATGAAAAGTTGACTTAAAATGGTAG